ACGGAGGAGGAGAGAGAGAGAGAGAGAGAGAGAGAGCGCTTAAAGGGCTACCTGCTTGCTCGCCTGTCTGCATGGGGCGTTGATTTTGACAAAGGGTTTAAATGCCTGGCGAGGCCGCCCAAGCATATCTAATTCCGCACCCCTGCAACTCTCCGGGGCAAGCCAGCGATATCTATCAAACTAGGGATGCACCGTTGCCCCCCTCGTAACAAAGAGCGCCGGCGTAGGAGTTGTTTTTCACGACCTAGCCCCTTTTGAAGGGTCATGCGCTTTTAAAGCCCTCCGCTTTCCGCGCTGCCAAGCGAGATGCAAGGTCACGTAAACAGCTTTCGATCGTAGAGATTGGAAATTGTCTCGCGAGAAGAATTAAATCGATACGTCGATCGATGCGATCTGCTAATAACAGATCGAATTTTTAAGATATGTAAAATAATCATCAATTTTTTATGATATTATCGATTATCTCTGCTTGATATACGTGTCAGTGTATTTCAATAGGGAAATTAATTAAATGTAAAATTACTTGTTCAATTTCTGTTGATGTTTTCATTATTGCTTTACATTTTTTTTTTAAATGACGTTAGTGCTGTAAATCTTTCGATTTTTGTATCGATAAACTCGTGATAGCATACTACTCGTTTTATTTCATCATACTCGTTTCAAGGGACAAAAGCAATTTGTCATGCTCTGCACACACGACGATAAGAATTTACATGCAAATAAACCGCACGTGTAGGTCTTACATAATGCAACGGGAAAACAGTCCAATAACTACATAACATATAACTACATAACATTATACTTCACATTTACCAGAGTACCAGAATGTTTTTCTCGTTAGATATAAATATCTAATCTGTCGTAAAAACGTGTACGTAAATAATATCATTCATCTTATAATACAGTCTCGAATTTTTACGAAATAATAATCACGTGTTAATATCCTGGTTATCATGTTCATTGAGAATTATAAGATAATGTGACATTTCTTGTCATGGTCTCTAACGTATTATCGTATTTAAACGTGAAGCACGGATTTGTTGCGTAAATATTGCATTACGAAAAAAAAAAAAATTAAAAAATGGACATTTGATCGAAAGATGAAAGTTACCAAATAAATAAAAATGCTCCATGCTGAATAAAAATCCTCTGATACACATATATTTTTTAAAGTACTTTCTCGCATGAATTCCCTGCCCGCTGCGTAATCTCCGATCCCCTTTTCGATATTCCGATATTCACACAATCCTCCTGAGGGGTCGATCCTCTTACTTTCCGTTGGAATTTCGCTATCAGGATTATCCCACTTTTACCATTCTCTAAAACGCAGGAAGGACAGTGAATCATCAAACGTGGCGAGAAAATCGTTTGCCGAGACTAAAGACGCTTTTACAAAAATTTTACTTACACGATTATAAAGAAAATAATATGTTTAAAAAAATTGTTGTGAATTTTTTGCGAAACAACACGTTCGTTTCCATTTGTCATTTGTATTTGTAATTCCTATTAATATTTCTTTCTATTTTGATATGAGATACGTAACGTTACATTATTTTCATCGGTAATTACGTAATGCTCATCGACGATGAGCGGAAAGGACTATTCTCATGTCACAGATATCGATGGAAAAGAGAAAGCTGATATAATCGCATCTCGATCCGAAAAAATGACGACCGTATGAACGATGCCACCTGCTAGCGATAACAATGCGATAACAAAGTACGGGATCCGTTCAATTACGTGCGACGTAATGCATGCAACGGCAGAACGACAAACCGCAGGGTCGCTAGGAAACGGGATGCACGGATGTCGGCCTCGTCGCAACGATGCGCCCTCCCCCCTCCCCTTCCCCCCTCTTCCCCCGCGTCCGTGCATTCGTGCGTCTCGTACACGCACGTATGTACACGTGGATACGTGTGTGCGTGCGTGAGCTGCGCGTATCGGATAAACACACCCCACGCCGTATACATCGCCCGCTGTGGAGTGGTCCTCCCCCTCCGGGTAATAACAGTAAATCCCGAGTAATAAATCCCTCCGCCGTGTCTTCCTTCTCCATCCCCCTCATCCCCCCTCTTTCCGCCCGCCCGCGCGATGAGTATATACACGGGTATATATATATATATATGGGTAGTATACGCTTACGCGTGTGGACGTTTGTGCGTAGCCTCCTCCTCCCCTTCCTCACCTGTTCATCCCCCTCCGTCCTCTCCCAACCAGTTTCTCCCTCGCGCGAGCGCGAGCGCGCGCGAGAATGGGCATGCAATTTCTATCCGCTCGCCTCCTCTCTTCGGGATGGGATATACGTGCATGACGTGCATTGTTGTGAATTGCTCCCATGCTACGGCCGTGTACCTACCGGGTTAATCGAAGACCCCCTTGAACTCCCTTGAACTCAGACTAACGCGACGGGAACCGGAAACCCAGTTGAAACGTGCAGCGGACCATTATACGATTCCTCGAATGCAATGTGTGAGCCACCGTTGTCGATCCGCGATACAAAGCTCTCGATCGAGGTCAGTGACAAGATTCATAACTGCTGATTGATAGCGCCACAGCGCTCGCCGGGCTTCCAGGAACATTTCGAACGACATACACGATTGCACGGACAGCATTTGGTCTAATAAATTAGGAAGCAATTTAATTGTCGGACCAATAACAATCCTTTAGCCTACACTCGATTATATACGGCGAGGCTATTATCGATGCTATCGGTTTTTGGATGAGCGCCAATTGAGCAGAGGATAATGGTATTACATTGTTATCGTGATTTATATCTTAGTATCGAAAGCCGAGGTAGTACTCGATCTCAGAAATAATTTGTGAAGTATCGCCAGTGTGATAAGAATGTTATTTTAACGCTTATCTTGAAGAAGATTTAAGTTTCAGTTTTTGCAGCGTCGACTTTTTTTTTTATTTTTTATTTCACGCGTCATTTCACTTTTCCATTTGAATGAAAGTGATAATGAGTCAGAGCCTGATTCGCATCAGTCAACGTCAACAGCTTCTTCGTAATTTGCAGTTTCGTTTCAAGAGTCGAGAGACGAATAAACTTGCGGAAGAATGTATGAGAATTGATATATTGAATTATGCGAATATATACGCGCCGAGTGAGGGTGGAAGAAGGGAGGGAGTTACCATGGAGGTTGCCTTTATATAGCATCCTAGAGTTACCAAGTTATGCGAATCACTGACTACGCACATCAAAGGGATTTACCTCGGTAAATCAGCTCCATAATCTCTCTGGATGGTGAACAGCCGATGTACCGGACAGCTGTAAGGATCGATCAGTTGCCCGCCACAATTATGCAGTCCGATCAAGGATATCGAGACAACCTTCGTGCACAGGCATATCGAGTGCGCGATAATCTACCGTCGTACCATCGATAATTTCAATAATTAGCGGCCGTATAGCTTGTTCGTCGACTTGCGATGCTCGTTGCGCATAATCAGCTTACGTCGTGCAATACCCAAAATTAAATAAGTACACTTCGATGCGTCATTGCCTGGAAATTATAAAAGACAATTAATTAACGAATTAAAAGTTTCAAATTGACAGTTTTTAGAGGAATTGATCGCAAGACTGCGGAAAAAGGCTATGGTCAACTTTAACTAAGTTAAAGGCTAGTTATGCCCAGCTATGAAATTATATATGGTATTATAAAGTTGAATGATTTAGACTAAGATACCTACTGGTTTACTCCTTCCGCATAGTTAATATTTAATGCCATCATGAAATCGGGCCGCTTAGCACTTAGTTATTAATTCTAAAACCGAGTTACCGATTGCCTGACTTTTCCTACACGTTATAGTTCACATATGATACGGAATAGATACGGAATATATAAGAACAGATTTATTTTTTCATTCAAACGTGTTTTAAATAATCCTAGTGCACTCATTTCCAAGTTACTACTCATAAGGTATCAACTTCGCTTTCCAATGTGTTCACATTCACGTGTCACACATTCACCGTTGTTCTTTTCTTATTTCAGAGAAGAACAACGCCCGTAACAATCGACGTCGCCGCGTAAGCGAGGGTGCCAGTCGCGAGAGAACCGAAAAGGATACGGCGGAGACCGCGTTGTCCACGCGACAGCAGGAGGATCGCGAAAACAAGGGTCCACCGACGGGCAAAGTAGGCAATCGTGTTGCACGACCGGTCCTAGAGGAGAACAGTGCGCCGGGAAGCGCCTCAAAGTTACGAAGACGCGGCGCCGCGGTAAAGAGTCCGACCACCGACCACCAGGGTCCGGCGCAGCATCAGAGGCCGGTACGAAGAAGGCCAAGGCCAGGAGGTGGTCAGGAAGTCAAGACAGACGCAGAAGGGGAGACTGTCGAGCATCATCATCGTACCGGAAGCGGCGCCAGACCTGACAAGGACGAGCGTCTCGGTAACAGATCGGAAGAGGAGGAAGAGGAGGAGGAGGAAGAGGAGGAAGAGCATCTCGAGGGAGAGGATGAAGAGAATCAGGAACGGTGCGATCCATTGACTAAGCGGCTAAGAACAAGCCCCGTCGGCAGAAAGCTCCGGTCTGAGAGTAGCAAGGGCAAAAACGTCGAAGAAGTTACAGCGGATCGGACCAGGGAGGCGGTGGTGGAGGCAGAGGGGGAAGACGAAGAGGAAGACGACGACGAGGACGACGTTGAGGAGGAAGCGAGGGTGGAAAAACACGACGGGGCCGAACGGGAGGTCGGCAAACTCGAGGAGGACGAGGAGAGTCAGTCCAGGGAACGAGACAGAGAACCCGAGCCACCACCTCCAGATAAAGTCGATCCCGGAGGCGATCCGGCTTCCAAAGAGGAGCGGCAATCAGATAACAAATCGGAATCGAAAAAGGACGCTCGCGCGGCCGATTTGGTTGCAGATAAGATCAGCGAGCGCAAGGAAGAGCAACAACAGGGACAACATCAACAGCAGCAACAACAACAACAAAAACAACAGCAGCAACAACCACAGCCACCACAGTTACTCGTGAATGGATTGCACGTCGACTCGCCGCTGGTCAGCGATAAGACGAATGCCATCCATGAGGGTAGCCCGTCGCCGCTGAAGTTGACTCGATCGAAGACAAAAGGGTTCGCGGAAGACGATAGAGAGGACGTA